AAGAAAAATGGCGAGTACTTAGTTGCTGAGTGAATGGAAGAGTTGTAAGCAAAAGTGACAAAAGGTAGATATTTGGACCAGTCATTCAAATTGTCGTTAACATAGTGTTTAAGCGTTGAAACTATAATGGCATTGTTTCTTTCTACCAAGCCTTGAGACTGTGGGTGGTAAGCAGTTGAGAACTTCTGGTCGATGTTAAGGCTTTTGCACAACTGGGCAATTAACTCATTTTCAAAGTGGGTGCCTCTATCTGATGAAATTTTTTTTGGAAAACCGTAATTAGGAATTACTTTTTTTAATAAAAATTCGGCGACTGTTGGCCCGTCAGCTTTGGTGGTCGCTGCGGTTATGACATACTTAGTTAACGTACAAACTGCGATAAGGATATAAGTGAATCTATTTGAGGGGGGTAGGGGGCCAAGAAAATCAATGATTAGGTGGGAGAACGGTCTTCCATCCAAAGGTGGAGGGATGGGTTGCAGATAACCATACTTAGGGGCACGTTTAATATAACTGCACGACACACAAGACTTAATGAATTGTTGGATATCCTGGGACATGTTGGGCCAATAATACAAGAATCTGGCTTTTTGAAAGGATTTGGCGAAGCCAAAATGGCCACCGCCATCTGAAAGGCTGTTATGGCACGAAGCCAAAACATCAGGGCGTAATTTTTCTGGTACATATATAGCCAAAGATTTTTTATTGGGGGTGAAAACTTGGAAATACACTAAGTTATTTCTGAGTACGAATCTTCGAGAGAGACGCAAGATTTTCTTATCAGATATAGATGCGGGATTTGAAAGAGCCATATAGATCGATTTGATTGTTGGATCTGCTTGTTGTAAGTCGAATAACTCTTTACTATTATCTAAAGTGATCGCATTGACTAGGGCTGGAGGATATCTTGATAAGTAATCTGCTGCTTTGATGGGTGCCGAGGATTCTTTAGTGTATTTTATCTCAAAGTCGTAGTCTAGAAGTTGGGAAACCAATTTATTAAGTCTTGATGATGAATTTTTGAACGTCTGAAAGTACTCTAACGATTTGTGATCACTGATAACCGTGAATCTTCTGCCATATATGAAATTTCGAAAATGGTTAGCGGCATTGACTAAACCGCGGAGTTCTAGTTGGGTAGCTGACCAAGATTTGAGGGGGGGTAAGATTTTGCTATAGAAACCAATTGGATGAAGCTTTCCATGATCATCGGGCTGTGCCAATATTGCTCCAGTGGCGATATTCGAACTGTCGATGATCAGGGTTAACTTCTTTGACTCGTCGAAATTTTGGAGGACAGGGGGGGTTATGAATTTACTTTTAAGAGAATTAAATGCGGTATCTGCTTCAGCAGTCCAAGTAAATGGTTCTTTCTTGGATTCTTGTTTCAAAATTGCGTATAATGGGGCACAAATTTTAGAAAAGTGGAAAACAAAATTGCGATAAAAGGTACAAGAACCGAGAAAACTGCGTAACTGTTTATAAGAAGAGGGGGTGGGGGAATTTAGAATGGCAGAGAGATTGTTGGCATCTGGTGAAAACGAATGTTCGGATAAAGTGAAGCCTAAGAGATCGATCGACTTTGTGAAAAATGAACATTTTTCGGTTTTAACACGTAAGAGATGGTGGGAAAGACGTTCAAAAACTATCTTTAAGAGTCGCAGATGTTCTTCTTCTGTGTCGGAATAGATGTACAGATTATCCACATAAATCACTACTCCATGATATAAGAGGTCTGCAAAAACTCTATTTATTGCGCGCGAAAAGGAGGAGGTCCCATTGCGAATGCCCATCGGTTGCCTGGTGAACTGAAAAAGACCCTGGGGGGTTGTGAGAGCAGTACAAGGTCTAGATTTCATTGATAGTTCCTGTTGATAGAAACCTTGGACAAAATCAAGCTGGCTATAAAATTTGTGTCCACGTAATTCGTTGATAATAGAATCTACTCGAGGGAGGGGGTATCTGTCTGGGATGACTTTTTTATTTAACTTTCGGTAATCTACTACTAAACGTTTATCTTGGGGGGTTAATTCTGTAACTGGTTTATTAAGGTGGGGTTTTTTAACAAGAAAAGCGGGGGAAGCGTAGGGGGAGGTACTGTTTTCTAGGACTTTAACTGACTTAAATTCTGAAATTACTTCGTTTAGGTGGGATCGTTCTAGAGACGACATTTGAAAGGGGGGGCTATGAACGGGTTCATCGTCAGTCAGATTTATGACTGCGGGTAAGATACGCGCCTTTTGTAGATCTATTATCGAGGACGCAAAAACATTCACATGATTGGACAAAATTTTCTCCAAGCTACTGCGGAAAGAAGGGTTCAGATCTTTGGATACTCGCACTGGGGTTCCAGCCTTATCGCGCACGTTAGTATCTACAAGGGGTGTAGATGGGTTACTGAAATCGGCATCAGACGTAATCGAATGAATGAGAGCTTGTTTGTGATCCTGAGAAAAGATCTCCTTGCTGTAAAAGCTTCGCAAGTGCGAGGCTGCCTTTACGCTTGGAGGATTGAGGATTTTTCGCGCCACAGTCAATGGGTTCCCTGTGGTTCTGGGCACTGATGGATTACCATTGAGAGTGGCACGAAAAAGATGACCTTTTAGACCTGCCATTCGTGGGGCTGATGTCTTACGGGTCTGAGTTGTTGTACCTTGCAGACTAGCTGCATAAGATACTCCTTTTTGGGGCAAACTTGTTGCATTCCCAAAAATGTGATCTATGGAAAGATCTGGAGGGGGGGTGAAAGGGTGCGAGTACTGCGCATTAACCTTTCGGATTGATTGATCATCTAAGTGATCGTCAGTCTGTGAAGACTGATAAGAGTGCTGATTGAACAGCGATGGGTTTTGCAGGACCCGAGAGGGGTGGTATTCTAGATTCCTTTTAAAGGAGATAGTGCCTAGGATACTTGATTTTAGAATTACCACCGGTGAATAGGATAAATTTTTTACCAGGATCACAGAACAAACGGAATGAGAGCTAGCCGAAGAGAATTCCTGAAGTGGAATGTGGATTGGCTTAGCATGAAGGAGATTTACATTCGGCTCTAGATATGTTGTAGAGCGAATGTTGGGTAGATCATGACATACAGGTACACTGGTAAATGACATTGGGGTTAGAGTAATCGTCTCTTTAACAAATGCTGAAAAAGTACTGTTTTTACTAACATAGTTGATAGACAAAGATTGATTTTTGGGTAATAAATCAATTTTCAACGAGGTTCCTGTTTTCGGAGTGATGGATAAAGACTTGGATTGGAAATCGATATGGGCTTTATGTTCTGTTAAGAATGGAGTTCCTAGAATAATGGGCGTAGGCAAATTTTTAACAATATAAGTGAAAAGTTTGAACAATTGTTTCTTGATAGTAATGAACAAATGGCCTTTGCCTATAATTTCCAAGGGTTGATCGCTAGCTGATTTTAAGTTGAGCAAGGGACCTTTACAAGGTACAACTAAATCTTTCAATGAACTAGAGCAGACGTTCACCGAAGCGCCCGTATCTAAAAGGGCAGTAAAATTTTTATCCGAAACAGAAACAGAAATCGTAGAGCTAGATTCCGAAAGAAAATTAGAAAGAACGCCGCTTTTCGGCAATTTTTTTTGCGTTAATGCCGGTTTTTTGAGAGGGGGAAAATCTTGATTTGAGAACACAGGTTGAGAAGGTGACGTACGGTTAGAAGGAAATTTTGACGACTTTTTCAGTTTTTGTTTTTGAGACTTTACCGAAAATTTTGAGGCTTACTATTTTTCTTATTTCTCTTGGAGACCTCACAGTTTGGTTTGGGGCAAAAATCTATCGTATGATCTGTATCTTTACAGTATCGGCAATAACGAACAGTGCATGAATCAGGGGGGTGAAGATCCGCGCATATATTGCAACGGGGAGAGGTGCCTTGATCGTTATTCGACACGATAGAAGTTTGAGAGTTTTGTTGGTGAGGTCGAAATTTTCGTCGGGACTTTTTCAAGTTTTCAATCTGCTTTGATTGATTTTGCACGATTTGGATCAATTCTGTTAATCTGTCGCTGTCCTGAGGGGTTATCGTCGGGGTGGTAGGGGTCTGAAGTTCGAGGTTTCGTTTCGCGAATTTGCGAATTGATTCTTCCAACTCCTCAAGGGTATCGTGAGGGTATAGAGTAACTATGGATTTAACGTGGGGGGGTAAACCTTTTAAAATATGAAAAACAGTATAATCAGGAGTTAGATTTAAATTTTTGCATAATAACTTAACTTTAAATAGGTAATCTATGATTGAGGAATTGTTCATATGTAAAGAGTCTAATTGCGATTGATAATGGGCTATTGGGTTTTTTAACGAGAATTCTTCTAAAAATTTGTTCTTGAAATGTTGAAACGATAAATTTGGGTCTGATTTCTTGAGGAATTGGAGGAATGATAAAGCTTCGTCTTTTAACTGGGTTTCTATGAATAATGGGACTAAATCTGGGTCATACTGATTGACTAAGATTGCAGATTCTAAAGCTATGAAATAGTCTTGAACATTTTCACTACCAGTAAAAGTGGGGAGGGGAATTTTGGGGGACTTAAAATTACGATTGGCAACTGGTGGTTGATTATTGGGTAAAATAGAGGAGATGGGACCAGAGCTCGAAGTTGTAGGGTTGGGGTTTGAGTGGGGGATGGAATACGCCGGTATATTAATCTCGACGTATGCGGTGTCAGACGTAACGACTGTTTGGATTGGAGAATTCATCGTGGAAATGAGTTCTGATCGTTCAGTTATATCTGACAAAGCGTCGTCTTCTGGTTGAAAATTTGATAAATAAGGGGTTGAACTAACTGTTTGAGAACTGGTCGAAAAATTTAAACGACGATTAGGGGGTTGGGACATTTGAGTGAAAAACAGAATTGAAACAGATGTGACATACAAAATAAGAAATCACTGCATAAAATGAAAAATAAAAATGCATATACACGAAAAAAGTAAAGAAAAGAATAAAATTGCAAAAAGTATGAAAGAAAACTGGACAAACCTTGAGCGGAGAACTCACAAGAGGGCACACTCAGAAGGTGTCTTTGAAAACTGAAACTAAATTAGTACAAGAGAGAAAAAAAAAAGAAAAGCAGAAAAATTCGAAATTTTGATTGGCAAAAAGAATGAAATTTAAAAATTAAGACTGAATTACGAAAAATTACTAGAGAAAATTACTAAAGAAAAATGTACTTTGAAAAAATTGGAAAAAGATTAATTGACTGATTGATTGCATTGATTTATAGCAATGAAAAATTAATGTTACACTCAAAAAGAAAAGGTAGAAAATACTGTGTTGGCATATAGTAAGGAATAAGCAAGATTTAAAAAGACATTAGAAATGCCTACATAGAATAAACAGTATTGGAGTGTAAAAATTGAAATTTCGAAAAAGTACGACTAGACGAGAGAAATAACCTGAAAAAGAGAAGAGAAATTAGACATGACATAGAAAAGAAAAATTTTGGGTGGTGGGTGGGGGAGAAAGAGATGTGAAATGCACTGACCAACCTTAAGCACTAATATCACAAATCACTTAGCACAATAATTAATCCTTGTGGGCACTTGTGGGAAGTCACTGATGTAGCGGTGTTGAAAAGTCCTGGAGTGAGCGTTGCGGGTGGAGTCCAAAAGATAGCCAAAGAGAGAAACGGCACTGATGTTGAGGGATCTCCAATACCAGATTATGGGACGTCTTTTTTTCACTTCGCTAAGTAGCACGAGGAGAAAGGGTAACCCCGTAAAAACTGCTCGTCAGAATTTTGAGTAAAATTCTGGGACTTCTCGTCTTTCCGAACCGGAAAGGAACTTCTTGGAAAAGTGATAAGCAAAATAGTGGCTTATTACTGGAAATGCACTAGGTCGCCCGTAAAATCTTCTGCACAAATCGAGAAGACGGGTTTCTGCACCATGTCATAAAGAAGGCATGGATTTTGACACCAGGTCAGAATTTAGAGTTCGACACTGAAATAGCTGAGAGTTTGTGGGAGAGCAAGAACTGAAGTCGAAGATTTAAAATGCACCAATAATTTGTATTAACGAACTTTGAATAAAACACAATTTTACAATTGATTCACACAGCGTAAAGTATGGGTCTAAATAAGAGATGTTAAGAGGTGTCCCGAAGAGGTAGATGTAGAGAGACAGACCTCGGGCACGGAGAGATAGACCAAGATTTTAGGGCAGCACAAGCTTTTATAGACTTGCTGACGTCACAGGTGGTGAGACAACAAGTCTACACGCCATTGGCTGGCTATAATCAGTGGAGCTATCAGTTGCAAGTCTGGTAATTAGAATAATGGGACATTATACGAGATGACTGGGAGATTGGATTGAAAAATAGAGAAAATGAACAAATCCAGCCATCTGAGATGAATTGGAGAAATATTAAAGAAAATTTAGAAGTTTAAAAAAAAAGGCAAGTTGCAGGGATTTGGATACCTGTGACACTCGTGAACTCTACATTGTCACGGTATAGTTTACAAGAAGCGATGAAATTTCGTTGTGATTTGTTAAGGGTATAGCAACTTGGAACTGGCAACAATATAACTTTTGAGATTTTGAACTCTGCCGGTTTGGCAGCTTTGGAGGATTTTCTTTTTTTGGCTCGAAAATCTGTTTTATAAGGCTCAAACTTGGCATCAACAACAGCATTTATCGATGAGTTGTTTTGACGACGACTTCCTGAAGAAGATGGCATATAAATGGTCTGAGATCTAGAGTCTGATGGCTGAGACCTACTCTGGATCTGAGGTGCAGGTCTGTCCAGCGTAGATATTGACGAGGTACTTTGAGGTTGAATCCGTGGTGATTCTTGGCGAGCTTCCTCCGTACTTATGTAGTTGTCAATTAGTTGTTTCATCTGATAAATAATTCTATTATTGTTGTTTTCCATTGTGCATCTGTAACAAAAGCCAAATGAATGTAATGGTAGAAATAAGAACAGTAAGTGCTGACAGTTTAAAATAGTGGTCAGCAGAGGGGTGAGGGGGAGGTTGTGTGAAAAGGGGGAACACAACGGAGAACAAGAAGAAGTGGGGAAGGGAACCGAAAACGGGGGAAGCAACTGAGAATAGACATTCAACTATTCTGGGGAGACGACCACCTCCACACTGAAAGAAGGACACAGAAAATCATTTCACAGAACAATAAAGTCAACCTAGATGATTATACAGATTATAAAGATATAAAAAAATAGAGCAATCATCAATTGTATATGTATAGTATGAGCAAAACCTAATTACACCGAACTTCATCTGTTTGAATACTAACTTAGAAAATAAGCATAATAGTAATATAATAAGTATAATAGTATAAATACTAGCACAGAATGTTTTTTATTTACTTCACCATTTCTAAGATCTTTAAGAGCTACATTGTTTTAAAATATCAATTCCAATGGAAAACGATGCAAAAAATTTATTTCTCACAATGAGAACTTCTAAAATTCACGTATAACATAAGAAATCTTCTTTGAAAAACCGATGCTTTTCCGAAGCTGTGCTGTGCACAGAAACGTTAATAGACTTGAGTTATTTTAAAAACTTTAACAGAAATTACCTACAGCTAGAAAGGGAACATAGTCTGAAGAGGAGGAAATAAGAATATGCCACTTCAAGGCATGAGAATTGTCAATGAATATGGAGGATCTAAGATTTATCTCATTAAATTTCAGTGTGATAATCAATGAAATACTTACAAATTCTGCTTCTTTAAATATTTTCCTGCTTCTTGCACAAGGAAGTCACTGCAGGTTGTGTTCATGAGAGTCACTACTTGGTCCGAATCACCCCATTTTTTGGTTACAACAGCTGAAAAAAAATTCACATGACTTTTAAATGTCATACCATACTTGAAAGGAAAATAACTTTGCAATGGAAAATGATCAGTATGAAATTCAAAAAAGAAGGCTGTTGCCAACTATTTCATGAGTTTCTTCTCCTTTTGGAGAGCAGTGGCAAACAGTTTGAGTTTCATTCACATATTTTTTTCAACAGAAGTTAACATTCATTAAGATGATGGCAATCAGAGAGCGTTCACACATTACGTGATGCACTATTTCAGCACGTTTGCCCCCCCCCCCCCCCCCCCTTGAAAACCTTTGGTTGCGTAGGCCCTTATCCTGTTAAAATGTAAAGAGAATAGCGTAACCCTCTTCAAGACCGCCTCTCCCCAAAATAATTAACGTCATTTATGAACAGCCTAAAACGGGAATCACACATTTTTTTTAAAAATTGAAACGTGCAATTTTGTTACTTTCTCTAAAGAGTTTTAAAAATCCGTCGACTTCGGTAATAAAGAATAAAAAAAAATTGGCAGGTTGGTTTGCATATGAACTGTACAGACTGAGTCGGTCATCTTCATGCTCCTCAGTAAGATCAATCCATTACAAAGAATAGTGTACAAAATAGTAGGAACTGAGAGGAACACAGCCAAATTAACTGCTCCCAAATTCAAGCTATAATTGCCTAGATTTGCATATCCTCCGAGTTTTGGCTGGAAATTAGACAAACAAATCCATACACACTCATACAAAGATACATTTCCACATTCACGACTATCCTGTATTACTTCCAATTAAAGGCAAAAGTGGAATACTTAAGGGAATTTCTTTCATCGAACCTAGTACTTTAGAGCATTGCTCTTCATTTTGTTTTGAAGTATTTGAGCAGAGATAAATCAGCAAAGCAAAACAGGTATATGCCAAAATAGAATTTTTAAAGTTTGCAACAACAAAGCACTCACATTTCTGAACTAGGTTGTACATATTCAGCTCAGCCCATGCATTTTTGTTTCTGTCTCCTTTTCCTTTGAAGTTGAATGAGTTGTAAAGACTTGGTGTGAGAGTAATTCTAATAACATCGCGAGCTGTTTTCGCTAATGATGTTTTGTCAACCTTCTTGTATAGAGCGTGGACCTGCAAAGGAAACAAAGAAAAATTTGAAAATCCTATTGAACACAGTTTCGGAAACCATTCTGTTGTAATCACGGACTTTGGCCTGAAGTTGTGCTTTGCCAACCTAAAAAATTTTCATACCGAGGGTACATGTTCTGATAGGGCCAAAAAAAAAAAAAAAAAAACGAATATATATATTATTCTATTTAAATAAGTCACAATACTGGGCTCCAAAATTGCAGCACAACTCCAATTAAAGGGAACATCATTGCAGGGGAGGTATCCAGCAGTTCATAATCTAAAGGGTCAAAGTAATTCAGAAAGGTTGATATCTTTGCCCTTCGTTATCCCTTTGACCTGAAAGCTTGCTTCTTATTTTGTGCAAGTATGGATACTTGCTGGTAAGCACTAGACACGATATTATTGATTTTCTTCTTTCGAAAGTGAAGTAAAAAACAAGGAATGATTTGATGATGGCTCATTACTCTATATAAAGCTGCTGTTCCCACTCACTCTGCCCCCCCTAGATAAAAATTGGCCGAAGCGATTTCCTTTAAAATTGGTACACGCTTAGCTATTGTAATGAGGAGTTGATTAAAATTATTCCCATTCAAATCCGCTGCCTCGGATGCCCGCAAGAGCGAAAAGTTATTTCTCCGTATAGTATTACATTGGAGATACGCGGTTGTTTACGCGCATCGCGCCGAACAGGTTCAATCCTGTTGCGTGACGTCACTGCCTT